GGGCTGCTGCCAGCACGGCCTGGAGTTATTGCTCCTTTAGGAGATGGCAAAGCTGGGGCTGGGCTGTAAGTCACCCCACCAGGATGGAGACGTGGGGACACCCCTGGTCCTCCACGAACCCCACTTTGGGAGCCAAAACCTGCACCGCCCCATGCCAGTGCTTGGGCCTGGATGACCAGTAATGAAAATCCCAAACTGGTTCCAAAGGGGAGCCCCGGTGTCGGCGGGAAGCCTGGACATGCTCCTGCAGTGCACCTGGGGGCAAGCAGGGATTTGGGGGTACAGATTTGACAGTGCCCCAGCCAGATCTGGATCCCAGGAGCTTTAGTCCCCGGGAATAGCAGCACAATGGCTGGGGGAGGAGGGGGGAACCCACCTCTGCCGGACCCGCAGACACGATGCCCACATGTCCTCTCACACAAGTCAAGACCCCCCCCCGATGCTCCCCCGGTTTTGGGACCGGTGTGTCCGGCATCAGACACAGAGGGGACAAGGCTGGGCCAGAGGTTCAGCTCACAGCAACGAGATAGGAGAGTCTAATTAAGGCAGAAACATGACTTGGCTTCTAACGGTCATTTAATCAACAGAATTTCTGGCCAGGGATGTGCGGGGGCACGGGGAGACTGAGGGATGGGGGCGGAGGCAGAGGAGGGGAGCTGGGGGGAGGGACGCTGGCACAAATCCGCAATTGCTGCCTCAGCAGGGCTGGATCAGCCCCTCCAGCAGCAGCCCCCTGCAGTGCTTCCCCCCGGGACCCCCGGGACCCCCGCCCCCTCCTCCCTCCTGAGTTACGCTGCTGAGGGCGAGGGGAGTTCCTGCTGCTCCAGCCCCGCTTCTCGGGGCATTGGGAAATGGAGCGACAGAGGGGAGGGGGGTGATGGAGCGAGGATGCTCCAGTAGCGGTGGGACCACGGGACAGGAGCTGCTGAGATATCACCCACGCAGACCCACGGTCCCCTCTCCCCCCACCCGGGTACGAGCGGGTGCTGTTGGCCAGACCCCCCCTACCCGGCCTCGCAGCCCCGATGGCTGCCTGCTGCTGAGGGAAACTGAGGCACGGGTGACCCACACTGTCCATCCCAGCTCCAAGCGGTGCCAGGACCCTGCTCTGCTGCTGCCTGGGCTGGTGACAGCCTCCAGCGCCACCAGGACCCGCGGTGCCGCTCACCCTCCTCCCATGGCATCTCTGGATGGGGACCGGAGCCAGCCTGCACCCTCCTCCCTCCCTCCCCACCGACACGCTCTGCTCGTGGCCTCTCATCACCAGCCAGCACCCAGCTCGGCTAATTAAAACTAATGATGTGCTGGGGCTCGGCAGCCCTGACCGCAGGCCCTTCCCCGGGAGATGAGTAATTCATGGGGGGCACCACACCAGAGAACGACATGGTTGCTGTGAAAATGTGATGAGTTACCCGGGCGATGGCGAGCACATCTCCTGCGTGTCCCCCCGGCCCCGCTCGGCCACAGGGTCACATCCAGGATCCCACCCTCGCCCCGAGCTGGAGGCGCTGGGGACGAAGACTGCAAACACGGGCAGGGCCGGGGACCCCGTGATGGGCTCCTCCCCAGGATCTGGCTCCTTGTCACAGAGCCCCCCGGGCTCAAGGAAGGGGACCCAGCCCCAGGCTCACAGGAGAGATGGTGTAAAATGAAAAAATAAATAATAAATGCAAGGACTGCTGTTTTTGGAGGCTGGTGCATGCCTTTGATAGAGGACCTGCTCTTGTGTCACAGCAGCTGCGTTATTTACAGCAAAACCAGGAGACGTCTAACAGTTAAATGCAGTCTTAAAGGTAGGCTTCATCCATCATTCGGGTACCAGATTAATGGCTTCTGGTGCTCCTAAGTCAAAACCACCGACTCCCGCTGCTGGAAGGCTGTGCCGGGCCCTGCCGCAGCCCCCACCGGCCCGGCTGTGCCGCTGGATGGCAAAGGCCAATGCACCCAGGGGCTGGGTGTGCAAAGAGCTGGGGAGGGGGCGATCCCATCCTGCCCCCTGCTCAGGTCCTGAGCATCTCCCCCTGCAGCAGCATCACCCCAGCCCAGCGCCTGCCGGGTACCGGGGTCACCCTCGGCGCTGGTGGGTGCCCCCTAAAGCATTGTGCCCACTGGGGGCTGCTGGCAGGGCCACCGGGCTTGTCCCTACCTGGGGACACCTCCCTGCATGGGGACCGCCGCTGGCACCAGGGTGCTGGGCCAGACAGCTCAGGGTTTCTGTGCCTCTGTAAAACCAGGACAGCGCCGAGGTGACACGGGGGAAGAGGCAAGTGACAGCACACCATGCCCGCGCCTGCTCTGGCAGGGAGGGGGGGCCATGGCCGGGTGCTCAGAGCCCTGCCGGGCACCCACGGGTGCTGCTCCCCAAGCCCACCTTGCCCAGGGGAGTCAGGCCCTGACTGTCCCTCACCACCGGCGTCACGGCTGCCCCAGCGGTGAGGGAAGGGCACGATGAAGCTGGAACCGGGGCTGGTGCCAGGGCTCCTGTGGGAGCTGGGGCAGGAGCTGCGGCAGCCGCTCCCCAATGGTCCCACCAGCATTTTGGTGCCAGCAGCCGAGGGGATGGTGAGCACCTTCTCCTCCCTCCCCACCACAGCTCTCGGCTTTCCACTTTCATCTGGCGCTGCTGCAATGCTTCCGAGACTCCGTGGAAGGCAGCTGCCTCGCTAATTAACTGGGAAGCAAACGAGAGATCGTGCTGAGGTATCTGCTTATACAGCCACGGAGCTTGGCACCGGCTGGGGTCAAGGTCCCCCTCGCCTTGGGCATGCCAGGAGCAGCCCATGGCCTTTCCATCCCATGGTGTGGTGGCACAAGTGCAGAGCCAAGGAGGGGACAGGCCACCCACCTCCTTCCTACCCACGGGGAGGGGGCTGCAGGCACTGCTCACCTTCGGCACTTCATCCAGAGGGTTTCGGCACGTGCCACACGCTGCCACTGCACCCATGGAAAAGGCATCTGGAGATGCTGGAGAGCACGGTCCCCTGAGCTGTGGGGCCGCAGCCACCCCCAAGGACACCAGAGCATCCCATATGGCTCCCACTGCCGCAGCCAGGCCACAGCGAAGCGCCGGGCTCACCCCAACCACAGCCAGCACAGGCAGCCCACCCTTGGCACACAGAGCCAAACGGCCAAAAAAACCTCCCAAAAAAAAAGGAGGGTCACTGCCAGTGCCCAGCCTGCTCCCCAGTGCCAGTGATGCTGTGGCAGCCATGCCTTGCTCTGCTGGTGAGACCAGCACAGCTAAATAGGGCAACAGACGGTGCTGGGCTGAGTTGTCCTGGCACTTTGAAGGCACCACACGGCCGAGAGCGCCCAGATCCTGCCCGCCCGGTAACGCCACCCTGCTGCCAGCACTCCCCAGCGACGGCCCCATGAAATGGCCATGGCTCCTGATCAATATGGGGGGAGAAAAATAGAAGCCAGACAAGCTCCTGGGGAAGAGCCAGAAGCTGCTCCAGGAGAGAGCGGAGACGAGGCGGATCGATCTGAGACAGGAGACGGGAGCACACACGCTGCACTGCCCCTGAGCTAAACGAACACGGGCTAAACGAGCAAACGTGAGCCATGAGATGCCATTTCCAGGGTGAGGCTCCATGTGCCCATCGGGCTACAACCCCTGGAGAGATCTCCAGAGCACCCAGCCAAGCCCGAGGCAGTGATGGACCAGTGTTGGAAATCCAGAAAACTGGCTCCAACCTTCAAGCATCTCCCTCTTCCCCACCAGCCAGTGCTCAGTCCCCGGGGACGGGGATGCTGGTGGCTGCTGTGCCAACTCCAAGGGGCGGAGAGCCCCAGAGGCAGAGTACAGCTCTGCATCCCCAGTGCCACCCTGGGCCACCCTGGTGACATTTGGGTTGAGAAAGGGGACAGCAGAGGCATGACAATGATGGCACCGGTGGGGATGCAGCACCGCACCAGCCCAGGGGTATTTAAAAGTGACATGAAGCACTACCAAAGCCAGGACACTGGGAACTGACTCCCATGGATAAACCTTGTGCAGATAGAGAAAAGCCACTGTGAGAGCTGGGGGGGTCAGCCCTGACAATGGGCACAGCCCCCTGGGCACTGCACGGGGTCCTCTGCTCTCCCTGACCCCTCCTAGCTGTGTCTCCCTGCTGCTCCAGGTGTTTTGGGGACACAAGTACAACAGCACATGCTTTGGGGCTGCACAGAGGAGCAGCCCCCCCCAGTGCATCCCACAAAGGCTATTTCCCCCGGGAATAACTCCAGAGCCCCCGTGCCTGAGGACCTGCCCTGGCTCCCAGTGTCCAGCACCTGCTGCCACACTGGCACTGGCACCCACTGTCCCCTCCGAGGTTCCCCTGCAGCCAGGGCCACCAGCCCGGGAGGTCTCCATCAGTCTCTGAGGCAGCACAAGCCAGTGCTGAGCCTGGCACGGCCGCACCGCAGTTCATTGCGGCACCAGGCAGCGGCTGCGCCAGGCTGCTGGCAGCGACACCGGGCTCATGTGTGGGCAGCAGCGGGCACACGCCGGCACCTTCGCCCTGCACTAACCCCGCTCTCTCCGGCTTCCATCCCAGGGGATCCCCTGTGACTCCCCCGGGAGCAAAGTGAGACAGCGTCAGAGCCCCGCGGGGCATCCACATGCTTGTAAATCCATGCACGGCACCAAAATCTGGGGGTGTTTTTCCCCTTGAATCCTCCGCTCGAGGCCGATGGGAGCAGCGGTGCCACCTCGGGGATCCCTGGTCCCAGCAGCCCTCGGTCGCAGCCAGGTCCCCGGGGACATCCCGTGTCCCACAGGAGGAGGTGGGACGCCTCTCCTCCAGCACACCATGACGCTGCCGAGCGGCTGGAAGGCTGGTCCCGGCTCCCGGGGGTGCTGGCAGAATTGGCTCAGTGTGAGGCATCGCAGTGGGGTCACGGGCGGGGAGGGACACCTCGACCCACGCCGGCGCTGCCGGAGCATCGGCTGCCGGATCAGCTCTGCCAACCCCAAACCAGCATCTCAGGCATCCCCTCTGCCCGCAGACACTCACCCATCCCCGTGGCTTCAAGCAGCCCTGGGTGCTGGCAGCGGGGATCCCCCAGGCCACCTGCAGCCCAGGGGCTGGATGTGCCCGAGCGCAGCATCACGTCTGTTCCCAGCACCCCCCTGCACCTTGTGCCACGAGCACTCGCTTTGCTCCCGACTGCTCCCCCCCGGGGATGCAGCAGCCCAGAGCCCGTGTCTGCTGCACCCTCGCAAGGTTGGGAAGAGCCAGGGAACAAGAAACACCCCGAATTAACTAAAACAGCTTTCCTTAAGATGCACAAAGTGAAGGATGCCCCGATGGCACCAGGAGCCCCTTCCAGGCAGGGGAGGCTGCAGATGCCCAGTGCCTGGCACTCAGCAGCGCTGGGTCTGGTGCAGTCAGACAGTTGCCCGTGCCTGGAGAGCGGGGTGTGGGACCAGCCGGCAGCAATTTGGCACAGCCCTGCCCCGTTGCACACACTGCTGGAGCCAGCTGCGGCCCCCCCCTCCCAAAGCCCTGGCACACTGGTTACAGCACCGGCAGAGCCACCCCGGGGTGGCAGGGAGCTCTGCCAGCCTCCAACCCCACGGTCTGACTGGCATCGGTACCTGGGGGCACCGCGATCCCTCCTCCGGGCACCGGAGCAGGTGAAACATCGCTCGACTTCCAGCACGTGGGATGTGCGGGGGGGCTGGCACCCCACACCCCCGGGCTGCAGGGACAGACCAGCGCTGTCCCCGGCTGCAGGATTACACAGGTACGGGGCATCTCGGATTCCAGCTGCACGCTGCCTAATTTATGGTTTAATTAATAAATGGGGAATTATGCCGAGTTTATCCAATACTTCTGGATGCGTGATGTTATCAAAATCCCATTACTGACGGAGGAAGGCATGAAGAGCAAAATTAGCTTTGGCATCTGAAACACTTCAGTCGGTGCGATAACACAATTATTAAGGCTAATAATCAAAGAGCACTTTGGGGAACGGGGGCTCTGGCGGGGGCCGAGCCGAGGGCAGCCGCAGCCGGTGCAGGGATGAGCTGGGGAAGAGCTGGGTTTTCACCCGGGAGGAAAAGGCTGACGGCAGCCAAGGGCAAAAGCTTTTTGCCAGCCTGCACTTACCGGTGGCTCCAGATATTGGCACAGGCAGAGCGCCGGAGGCCGCCGGGCTGAGGAGGAGCACGGCCGGGCACAGCACCGAGCTCCGCTGCCAGGGGTAGGGAAGAGGGAAAGGCAAAAAAAAAATAGATTTGAAAACCAGCAGGCGTCGGGTCCTGTCTATTTGCTTTGGGCATTGATCCTGCTGGAGGACATCACGGCTGCCGCTCGCAGCTCTCCTGCGCAGCCCGGAGAAGGAGAAACTCAAGTCATAATTAGGAGCTGCAGTCATCCGGCTCCTGGGGCTGGGCCTTTGCCAAAACCAGCGTGAGCCGGAGGAAGGGCCCGTTCCCACCCACCGGGGGTAGCAGGAGTCCCGGCGCGCTTCGGTGGCCTTTAGCTCAAGCCCGGTGACTGTCCCCGGGCTCGGGGAACAGGAGGCAGCTCCCCCGGGAGCAGCCGGCAGCAAATGTTCCGCTGCACCATCCCGCCGGGCACGGCCTCGCGCGGGGAACTGCCGGCAGGAAGGCAGGTTTGCCACCACCCCTCCCCGAGCACATACAGAAGGATACACACACACACACACATATATAAGGATATACACGTATATATTCATATGTCCTCCCTCCTGCCACGACTGCGGTGCAGGCGCTGCACGGCAGAGGGGTGCAGAGCCAGGGCTGCTGGCGGCGATGCAGTGCAGCCAACACTGGCTCGCTGCTGCTGTCACCGGGCTAACGGGTGGCGAGGGACGTGTCCTTGTCCTGCAGAATCGAGGGCACTGGGGCTTCAGGCCAGCTCCCGGCAAACGGGGCACTAGCACTTACCACGGGGGGTTGGGGGAGCCAGGCTTGGAGCCGGGTGATCAGGCAAGGTCAGACCCAGACCTGCACTTCCCCAGCTGCAAGAAGGGGACAGGACATCGCTCTTGGGGGCTTTGGGGTTTTGGGGAAGGGGGTTACTGAATGTCCCTTTGCCCAAGCAGCACAGGTGACATCCCACTGTCACTGCCGGCCTCAATGACCTTGGGTGCATCACCTCCCCTGTGGCCCACACTCCCCCAGCACACAGACCACCACAAGGCACGTTTCTTCTCGCCAAGACCCTCCGGCCAACAGCACCCAAGCGTGGCAAAGGCACCGAGCACCCCAAGGATGCCCCGGGGCTCTGGCAGCCCCCGGCAGCGTGTGGCCAAGGCGCTGCGCTAGCAAGGAATAATGCAGCAGGCAGGAGACGACTCCTGCCGGTGGCTGCGCTCCCGCACAGCATGCACAGGAGTGACATCGCTGCAGCAGCACCTCGGCGCACAATAAACCACAGCCTTCACTCCAGGACTGAAGTTTTCTCTGCTGCAGAGGAGCAGGCGGGGAGTCCTTCAGCGCCCTGCAGCTGCCACAGATGCAGGGGGGCTCTGCTGCCGGACACCCTGCAGCGGGTGACGTCCCACAGCTGGTGACATCCTGCAGCGGGTGACACCCCACAGCACCCACTGCCCCGGCCACTCTCACCTGGGGGACAGGAGAGCACCGCGCCACAGAGCGTCTGGTGCAGAAGGACACGCAGAGGCACCAGCGTAGTCGGGGACCACGAAGTGATGTGTGACAGTTGTGTGCGTGTCCCCCTCCCCGTGCCACAGTCACCTTGCCATACTGCCCGTCCCCTGCGCAATTTGCAGAGCTCCTGGGGGGTCACTCCCGCCCCTCTTTAGAAGTCAGCTGCAGGGGAGCAGCGAGGTGCCGGGCACGGCTCCGGTGCCGCCGTGAGTGCCAAGGCTGCGACACCCCGACACCGACGTGCCTGGTTCTGGGGTGAGCCCCTCCTCACTCCCTGCCCCCCGACAGCAGGCGCCAGCAGCGAAGGAGGCTCCCGGAGCTCGCTGCAGCCACGGCGGGGAAATTCAGTCCAGAAAAGGGACTGGCTGGAGCTGGCTCCCGGCCAGGCCGCTACGGAGGAGCCGCCGGTGCAATGGGGCCTGCGGCCGCCCACGGCTGGAGCCGCGCCGCTTCCCCCGGCTTCCCGCACCGGGGCGCGTTCCCCGCGCTGCGCTGGGGCAGCCCCACACCCCCGGCCGCCCCCCAGGGCCGTAACCCCAAGGGCACCCGCGGTCGGACGCGGTGGCGGATGCGGAGCTGGAGCATCCCTCGGCGCCCGGGGGGCACCTCTGACCCGGCGGCCGGCTCTGCGCCCCGGGGGGGGTCCCACGCCCCCGGGGGGGTCCTGCCGGCTCCGCAGCCCCCCTGCACCAGCGGCTGCACCCACCTCCGTCCCCCCGAGCTCTGTCCCCAGCTGCCTCCGGGGCGCAGCCCCCCACGGGCAGCCCCGGGCACCGTGTCCCGGAAGCGGCCCCCGCGGACAGCGCCGGCCCCCGCCCCCGCCCCGCACCCGGCACCGGGACTCGGCGGGGAGGTCGCCACCGGCCGGGCCAGCGGTGCCCCCGCAGCGCCCACCCCCCTCCGCGCCCCGAGACGGTCGCACCTCGGGCAGCGGCGGCGCCGGGAAGGGCTGCGGGACGGGAGGGCGG